GGCACTCAACAGAAATATGTACTTCAGCAAAATGGTGATCAACGTCTCATTTTCCTGGATGATGAGAATCTGAGAGATGAACCCCTTAAAACAGGCCCTTGAGAGGGGCAATGTAAAGCACCACACAAGTATATCATATGTCAAGGGTCCTCAAAAAACTTTTATGAACTTCAGTAAACACAAACACTTGACCCAACTTCAGAAGTGTGGCCTCAAAAGGAGTGCTTATTTTCCATCACTTCTCAAACACTTAAATGAAAAATGAGGTCATCCAAATACTCATACTAAGGAGAAAGTTGCCCATTTCTTCACCTGCTTTTAGAAGAGCTCCTTAATCTCAAGGCAATTGTTCTGTAAGCAGAGATAACCCAATTTTATTTTGGACAGAAAGTTTTAAATTCTCAAGGGATTAACAAGTAAAAATAAAAGAGTAACACCTGCTCTGTCTTCAGGGAATAACCGGCAATGATATGCCTGCTTCTTCAGTAACAGGTTACTAAATTACTTCTACATGAAAAATGCTTCATGCTTGATCACAAGTCTGGTTCATACTACACACTGCCATAGACTTGTACCATTTTATGGAGGACAAGACCTTGTAGCAGTAGTCGTTCTCTACTAACCTGCATTCCCGAGCCAGGCACAATGTAAGCATAAACCAAATGTGCTCTGTCTTCTCAGCAACACCTAGTGCAAGGTGGAGCCAATAAAGCACACAGAGACTAGAAGGTATGTCATTTGTGTTATGAACTTCAGATGGAGCTCTGTGAATCCATAAAAATAAAGAACACCTTTACAAGGGGGTGAAAAACAGAGGAAAGCAGTGAAAGCAATCTCCTCTTTATATTAAGGATCTTTCCCTTAGCATATCCCAACCCTTCTCCCAGAAAGGGAGATTAGCAGAGCCTCTCCTACCACTTTCTGAACTTCCTCTGAACTGCCCTTTCATTTTGTCCTCTGTCCAACAAATGTACCTAGAGGTCCTGCCTGCACCTGTACAAATCCTTCCCTAGGAAGACCAGCAATAAATAATCATGAGGTTTACAGGATCTCAGCACATAGCTGTATAGGAGATAGCCCCAACATAAAAATAGCAAGCAGTCCCACAGTACCAGCTCCAAATCATGCTTGGTTGTCAAGAGAGCCTTTAACATAGATTATAATGTTGACTCTAACTTGGGCTAGATCCTTTTAGCTACCAGTTGCCAAAGGTTTATTTGGAGATGTTCTGTTTCTACCTTAGTAGGGGCTCAATTTTGCTATCAATGAAGACTGACGATAAGAATTCTAGTGCAGGGAAGTCCCATGTCTGCAGCTTACATATTAAGACAGAACAAAAACTCAGCTCAGGTTAAACTGCTTTCACTTCAATGAATGGGTCTGCTGTTTGCCTCATCTACATGTAAAAATCATTAATATTTAATAATTATTTTTAATAATTATTTTATAGTTATATTGTCAGAAGCACTTAGTATTTTTCAAAGAAATCTAGATGCTAGCTGGTCTAATTTAGGTTTTAAGGACAGCAGTAAAGTCTTACTTCTGTGAAACAAAGTGCATGCTACAGCACAGCCTCTCATTCTTTAAACAAAAAGAATAAAATGGTGAGCTTAAAAAAATAAAGAGAGGGGTTTTGTCACACTGTGGAAAAATGTTAAAACAAGACAATTATCCAATTCACTGCAGACAGATTTAAGAACAGCACTCCAGACCCACTGCTCTAATTTACTATATATATTATTATGAACTGCTAATTTCTGCACCCCACCCCAATATAGCATCAAGAGTTAATAAATAACTAGCAGTCAAAACAGTGGAAATCTTATTACGACAGTTTAGTGTACCAAGAAAGTTGCACCTGAACAAGATAAAAATCAACCTAATTCCCAGACTAGGTATGATGATCACCAGTTTAATTAAAAAAAAAAAAAAAGTTAAACTACTTTAAAAGCCAGCTATGGCTATCTGCTTCCCAAAGTATATACTAGCTTGACTCTCCATTATTATGATAATAGGTTATGCAGGGAACGATTATAAAAGGCACAGAAGCCAATGTTGATATTTTAAAATTGTACGGCCTTATATAACTTGGCTGCTTTAACTATGGTTTTATGCAAATTCAAACATTTACTTCCTTTTATTTTCAGTGAAGTACACTATTACCCCCCAAAAATGGTCTGTATTGCTCCTACAAAGTAAAATATGCCACCACAAGATTCAATTCATTTTGGACGCAGTCAAACTGGAGTTTTAGTTAAGCCCAAATTAAACAGCTGCAACTCTGGCTCTTCATCAGATTAAGATCTGATAGGGAAATAATAATATAAGATTATACACGAGCCATATATTTACCACTGACTTTTAGAAAGAAAAACAAAACACTCACAAAAACCCAACCCAACAAATAACCAAAAAACCTCACCAAAACTAACCCAAATCTAAAGGACTGGTGTTCAAGACAGCTGCCAATTTATTTTGATTAAAAATTCAATATAGGTAGGGGTTAAACTTAAGTAAGAGCAATCTTCTGCCTAGTGAAGGAACTAAATCCTCTCTTTGCCGCGTTCACTTCAGTTTACTTGTATTGAAAGATGTAGGTTTTAACATCAAAACAACAATAGAGAAGACATATTTGCTACTACACGCTACAGCAACTTTGAAAAAAATTACTATAAAGAGATATAGTGAAAAAAAAGAAAGTGACAATTATCCTATATTTTGTTGCTGGATGTAGCACGGTAAGATCATTACTTCCTGCAGTTTGAAGGAAGGTGTGCCTGCACAGGTACCTTCCACTGTGACTAGCAGGTATGGGATACAATAGGCAAAGAACTGCAGCCTTCCCTTTACCATGGATTTATGGCTAAAGAGGCACCAGGCAAGCCAGGGGGAGGAGCAGGAGGCTGTTTCATTCTTTTCAATTATTGGAATATATGCAAAACTGCTCTGTTCTTCCAGGTGGCTGGTGTTATTAATGCCACAACCACAAAAGATGAAAGTGTAAAACAATGTTTTATGATCCCTGCTAAAAACTGACAAATAAAGTGTAAATACAAATGACAGCTGCCTCAAAGAAAAGGGAAAGAAACCTTGTGGTTTGGGGTTTACACCAGCAGGGAGCAGTGGTCAACAAAAACAGGAAGATGCTCTTCACTTCCCAAGGTATCTACTGTTAGTAAATAAAGGATTCTCAAAATGGTTACAACACCAGGTTTAAAAAGAGTCTGATATATTTCTTACATGGATCTACTACAAAGGTCTGAATACTACGTTAAGAATTCCTGAGGATATGTTAAAGGCTTACTCTGGCTATACCACTTCTGCTGTGAAATCTATTCATCAGTGTAAGGTAGAAGTTCCCGTAGTTAATAATTGAGTTGATTTACAAGCACAAATACAAAGAAAGAAAATTCATTCAAAATCTTCAATCTCTTATTCAAAAAAAAAGGACAAAAATATTCTTAATCATTTTAACATAGCAGAATTTCATTGTTTCATAGAGACTGGAGAAGACTGTAGATTTGGGGGTGGGGGAGAAAGGGAAATTAACAACTAGCAAAGCAAATAAAATGAGCATAATATATTACAGAAATGCCTATTATTCACTTACTTTAGACTATAATTTTGCATCATGCTTAAGAATCCATATGTGTCATATTCTATTAAATTAACAATGATCTTGTTTATATGAGAATTCACTAACACACCTATCTAGTTTTGACACTAAGGCTCTGACAAGATTGCCAAATTTTTTGTGCTGGTAAGAGCATTTTCTTAAGTGACATTCTACTGTATATAACAGCTCACATGGAGGAAAAAGGATCACTCACCACATTGTAATAGCTTTTGTTAATTGCAGACGTATCAAAGCCTTTAGGTGGACTCTTCAATGTACCTGATTTGGGGGAGACCGGTTTTTCTGAAATATAAGATATTTGTGTGTCAATGGGGTGCAATTTCATAGCTCAACACTAGAGGTCAAACAAACTGCTTTAAAATATTTATCATGAGATACAGTCAAAATAGTGCTTCACTGAGAAACGTACACACATTTGCTTGAAATTATCGACAAATAATCAAAATGGTTTATATGTTGACAATGAATTAAACTCTAGCCTCAATGAAGGCAAGTATAAAAACACCCATTCTTTTCCCTGGAACCAGAAAGTCAGTTAATAAAATTAGCTTTTCCAAAATTATTTAAAAAGAACCCAGACCATTATCACAGACTGCAATTAAAAAAACAAACCCAAAACCCACCATACAACAGGCATTTCCAAACACTACACGCACTTTTAAACAAAAGTATTACTAAGTTTTAATGTCAATTTAATGAACTTGGTAAAAGCAAGTGACCAATCAAAGGCTGAAAATACCAGAGGTGGGACATAACACTCAACGTGGCTGAAATAGTGATCAAAACACTATACAAGTAGCGGAGTGACTTACCAGATGCCTATCCCAGAAAAATCACCTTTTAAAACAACTTATCTGTTTCTGTTAATGAAGTAAAAAATAAAAATGCTTATGCAATTGAGAATAGAGTCCATCATAACAACAAATGCAATCCTTCCTACAATGCCATAGTCAGTCTACCCCTCAGTAATACATACTGTCACTGGAAGGACAACATAAGCCTGCAAGATCAAAACAACAGTCCTGAGAGTTACCTGCATGCTGACTCCCAGAATGGAGAGGCACAGAAAACACACTCCTGAAGCCTCCCTTCCCACCTCTACCACCCCCTTTAAGTCAATCACAGAGGAACAAAGATGAGGGGAGAGACAATCACAAGCATCATGCTGCATGCTGGAGAATCAGCAAGTATGATTTACAGCATCTCTTTCTGACCTCTCACACTTGACTTTGCATACCACTGAGAATGCTTGTGAGACTGTATTTATCAGGACATTATGGTGTTGGTTTGGGTTTTTTTATATAAGCAGGGTTGTCTAACATGCAAATTTCAAATAAACATTTGAGGAATTTGTATCCACACAAGAAAATGGCAGACAGTAAAAAAAACAAACCCAAAACACCCTCCCCCCAAAACCCCAAACAAATTAAAAAAAAAAACCAAAAACCACCCACAACCAAAAAAACCCCCAAACCACCCACATCATCAAAACATACCTACTTAAAGTTTTATCTTTATTTTAAAAAAAGTTCCTGTTTCAAATACATTTTAATAAAGATAGATGAATAATTTAACTCTAGTTCACCTGATACCTCAGGCCACTATGAATAAATTATGCAAGTCTCAAGTACAGACCTGCTTGTCCAGGAGAAGCCTAGTCAGCCCAGCTAAGGGCTGGCTACAGGAAATTCCCATAGACAGTAAAGCTGACCAGAGAAAACACCACCATAAGCGGACGAGAGCCTGTGTGGTACTAGCCTCTGCTGGACTCTATCTTGGCTAATTTAGTGCTTCTTCAGGCTACCCAGTTGCAGCCTCACAGATGCTGCAGGCTCAGGTGAGCTGACTACAGATGCAGAGCACTCTTTCATCTCCAGTGCCAGGAGCAGCGGGCAGGCCAGCCGGACCCAAGGCTTTAGCCAGCAGCCCATAAGGAGCAGCTCAGACCCCAAAAGCACGCATGCAGTATCTTCAAGGGGATTTTCTCTGTATTGCACTGGAACTCTCCTGAAAGAAGCTATTCTAAAAATAAAACACGGTCTTAAAACTGCCAAACACAGGCAAAACATTTCTCCTTACCATGTTCAGAGATGACAGCAAAATCCTTTCAGTTAATATCACCCACCCACACCCCCAAGTCAGCTATAAGCTGACAGACAGCACAAAACCTGTTAGCCCCAGCAGTTACTCAGCTGGGAAAACTGATGCCCTCAGCCACCAGCCCTGCAGTACATACGTGCTCTGCTGTACAGCCAAGTAATTCCAAGTGACAGGGCTCCTCCCGTCCCCTTAAAACAAAACCATAAACCCAAGCAGATTTGTCATTAAACACTCAATGTGAAAGAAGCACCTAAAGTCATGCTGTATGTACAGCTACTCATATATTTACATAGAATGCTATTCATGAGACAATTGCAACTTGTTTCTTCGTACTGAACGATGAAAATGATGTAGTTTAGGCAAACTTGGTAATTAGCTTTCATTCTCTGTGGAAGCTCTTGACTTACATATTTCACACAATTTATAGCAACTTTCAGGTTCACTAAATACCTAAAGGTTTATTAATCATGTCCCAAAAAGCATGAAAGGAAAAAACAGAGTTATTTAAGGAAAAAGGTAAATAACTTGTCACTCAATTTTATCACAATACAGATGTCTGACCCTTGTTCATCTGGAGAAAGTTGGCTGGTCATAAAAATCTGGCTCTTCTACCAGCTACTTTGTTATCCCAAAGGGTGTAAAAAAAATACATCTCTTCCCCTACTTACTTCTTCTCCTAAGCTGAAATATGTAGTCATTTATATTACCAGCTGTTCAGCTGATTCAGTTATCTATCAGAGAGACACCATCACATTCAGACTTAAAAACAGGACACAAAAAAGAATCACACATTGAAATAATTTTGCCTGAACAGCCATAATCAACATTCAGCTTTTAAAATGCAAAGGCCATTTCTATTGCAGAAACACAGAATTAGACTCAGCAAATCAGTCCAGCTGTCTGTCATGTTTGGTATACTGCCTCCAAGCACTGCCTTGCTTCATAAGGAGGAATAAGAAACTGTCTTGTTGCAATTAGCTTATTGCACAATGCATTACACAGAAGAAAATCCTGATCTTGCACATACAAAATCACTTTCTTAGCATAAACAAAGATGTGTTATCTACTATCATAGAATCATAGAATGGTTTGGG